GTCCCCACTCCCCCGCTCCCGCCCCCTCTCCCGCCCTCCCTCCCTCCCTCCCTCCCTCCCTCCTTTCTTCCCTTTCTCCCTCCTTCCTTTCCTCTTTCCTTCATTCTTTCCTTTGTTCCTTCTTACTTTCCTCCATCCCTCCCTTTCTTTTTTGTTTCTTTCTTTTCCTTCAGCCCAGGCTTTTCTGGAGCTCACTATGTAGCTTAGATTGTTCTTAAATTCAATGAACTATACATGGTCCAGCCTCTAGAGCTGGTTTTCCAAAAATAACTACCATGCCTGGTAGATGGTTTCTATTACACGCTGTCTACCCCTGCAGATGTTTCTGTGTCATAGTGGCCTCTATTTAACACAGTTGTCACTTCTTTCTTTTTCTCTTTCTGCAAATTTCCCTTTTAATTCTTCAAGAGTGTTCGAAGTTCAGTTAATCTAAAAGCAATGGCTAAATTCTGGGCTGAAATTGTTCTAGGTCACCAATATAGTCATTTTTGACATTTCTGGGTTGGGGAATGACCAAGGCCATCATTAGCCATCTTGTAGCACAAGCCATTCTTTCAAACCAAACACTAGAAGTTTCCACGACAGAACCCTCAGCAACAATATTTTCATCCTTTTCTATGTGTTTTGTGGTACTAACTTGATCTAAATTATTTGCAAAGACACAAATGGACTTTGGGAGCCAATTTCCAATGGAGGGATACTCTCTCAGCCTAGATACACAGGGGAGGGCCTAGGCCCTGCCTCAAATGATGGGACCGACTATGAAGATCCCCCATGGAAGGCCTCTCCCTCCCTGGGGAGTGGATGGGGGTTTGGGTGGGGAGGGTGAGTGGGAGGCATGGGATGATGAGAGAGAAAGGGAATTGGGATTTATATGTAAAATAAGATTGTTTCTAAATTAAATAAAAATTTATAAAAAATAAAAATATTTGCAAAAACATTTAATTTAAATTTGTAGCTACTGTTGGGTTTATGAGTAAATCATTAATTTTTCCATGAAAAGTCTCAATTTCTCACTGTGTCTCAATAGAGAGACAGACACTTGTGATGTAGCAGCAGGCAACAGAAAAGTTCCTGATGTCCTCAAAGGATTTCTAGTTTCAAATCTGATATGGAGACTGATTCATATTAGCTGCTGGTCTGGTTCTTTTTATACTGGTCTTAATGAGATATGCCATTGACCTCATGACTCTCATTCATGATTTCAATATTTTCCCATTTGATAGCCTCTCTTCCAGGACTGAGAGCAGCTGTTGCTCATGATTCTGGCTTGCAAGTTCCTGTACCAGAGAAGAACCAGTGTTAGGATAGAAGAAATTTGGGTTCACAGTTCTATTTCTTTCTGACACAGCCCAAGACACTGAGTGTCTCTACTGGGGCTGCTAACTACTCTCATATCAGTACAGGACATGGGTTGTAGATAACCCAAATAAATACAAACTGTATTTAAATGAAATCTTCAAAAATGTTGTTTTTTATAACTTACTCAATCTCTACAATCCTGATTCACTTCTTTATGAACCAGGTCAGTCATTCACTCAGAGCATATTGGGCCTGAGAATTAGAGGATACAGCATGTGCTCATATCTTGTTTTTCTTTCCAGGAATACTAGTGGAGAGCTCCTAAGAGTGAATATAAACATCTCAGACTGGGGGACTAACATCACAGCACTGGATGGAAAAAACAACACTGGAATTCCACTTTGTAGCGCCATGTCCTGTACCATGATTACCCTTTCCCCTATCATTGCCCTGGTTGGACTGGTTGGAAATGCCATAGTGCTGTGGCTTCTGGGCTTCCACATGCATAGGAGTGTCTTCTCTGTCTACATCCTTAACCTGGCTGGGGCTGACTTCCTCTTTCTCTGCTTTCAAATTGTACATTGCCTTCATATTATCTTGGACATCTTCTACTTCAAGACCATTGACATTCCTCTGTTTTCTTTTGTGCTGTTAAACTTTACTTATCTTTGTGGCCTGAGCATGCTCAGCGCCATTAGCACTGAACGAAGCCTGTCTGTCATGTGGCCCATCTGGTATCGCTGCCAACGGCCAAGGCACACATCTGTTATCATATGTACTGGCCTTTGGATCTTGTCACTACTGCTGAGCCTCTTGGAAGGGAATGAATGTGGCTTCTTATTTCATAGTGTTGACCATGGTTGGTGTCAGACATTTGATTTCATCACTGCTGCATGGTTAATTTTTTTATTTGTGGTTCTCTTGGGGTCCAGTCTGGCCTTATTGGTTACTATCTTTTGTGGCTCACACAGGATTCCTGTGACCAGGCTGTATGTAACCATTGTATGTACAGTGCTGGTCTTCCTGCTCTTTGGTCTGCCCTATGGGATCTACCAATTTCTCTTAGAATGGATTGAAAATTTTAATTATGTTGTGCTTTATGATTTTTATTCAGTGACAATATTTCTCTCCTGTGTTAACAGCTGTGCCAATCCCATCATTTACTTCCTTGTTGGCTCCATTAGGCATCGTAGGTTCCAATGGAGGGCTCTCAAGCTACTTCTGCAGAGAGCCATGCAGGACACCCCTGAAGAGGAAGAATGTGGAGAAGGTGGTTCTTCAGGAAGATCTAGAGAAATGAAAACAGTCTAGCAGATCTTGAGATCTGTTTGGATCAGGCAGAAATAGCATTGAGAAACAACTTTGTCCTTATCAGTTCATGACATTTTTTTATAACTATGTTTAGTTGATGACCCAAGGTTAAATCAGTTGGGAAAGTAGTCAATCTTGTAGAAGTTGATTGATGCTGGACTTGTTATACAAATACTGACTGCAGCATTTCTTGAACTGTTTTAGTCAGGGCTTCCTCATCTCCTTTTGGTGGAACTCCTTGGAAACTCTCTGGGGTCCAGGAGCTCTGTTGACCACTATTGAAATATTCTCCCTTCAGCAGAAGGGTCAAGGAAATGTATTAAAGAGGTTTCCTTCTTTATTTTATTTTATTTTATTTTATTTTTTTAAATTAGAAACAAACTTCTTTTACATGTCAGTCAATTCCAGTTTCCTTATTCCTTTGGTCATTGAACATAATAGTGGTCGAATCCATGGTATATTTTGCAATAATTTCCTTTGCTTTTTTTAAGCTTAAAATATAAGCTTTTATTTTTAAATGTACATTTTAGGAAACAAAACACAAGAAGCCAAGAACAAAGTCACCCAGTCACAAGCAGCTCATCTTGATGTGTCCTAGATCCTGCAAATGTAGATACATTTAGGTAACTGAGAATATACAGTGTGTAGCACACCTTCCCCCATATTGTAAATATTCACCAACTAATAACACCATGCTCTATGAGTATTTTGATAACCAAGAATGCACCACATTGTCTCAATTTTTCAGACAAAATTGTAATCCTATCTTCTTTGGCAACAAAAATTCATAGAAGATAAAAATGACATCAGGCCTCTGAATAGTACTGGTGAAACTACAATTAAAATTCTGCATTCCCTCAACATTTAGCTTACAAGGAAACACAAAGCAACAGACCACACTAAGTATAGCATTTATGAAGAAGAAGGTATGTTCCCGTTTAATAAATGTATTCCTATAAAATAGTTGGAAGATGCACTTATTGTAGCCTAAATCTAATTGGTCTTAATAATAAAAACACAGAGTCAGATATCAGTGTAAAAGCTGAAAGATCAGAGAAGGAGCTAGCCACTAAAGTTCTTAATTCTATGAAATCCTCAGACCAAAGAGGGCAGAGCTCCTGTCTCCTTACACCTTATATTCCTCTCTCCATCTAACCATATCACTTCCTATTGCCACCTCCCTAGTCCTGGGATTAAAGGTGTGAGATACCAAGAGCTGGGATCAAAGGTGTGAGGTCTGTTTCTCTTTTAGACTGGTTAAATCTCATGTAGTCCAGTGTAGCCTTGAACTCCTGATCTTCCTACTTCCACCTCTCAAGTGCTGGGATTAAGATGTGTGCAACCACTGCCTTGCCTCTATGGTTAACTAGTGGCTAGCTCCACCCTCTGATCTTCAGGCAAGCTTTATTTGTTAGAACATGAACAAATATCACCACATCACATGGCAGGGATTCCTAGGATGTGAATCTCAACACAGTATTGCAAATCTCACCCCATGAATCTTCCTCTGTCTGCCCTTCCACAGTCAGCCTAGCAACATGAATAACTCACCATGTCTAGGCCTGGCTTTTCAATCCTAAATTCAAGAGGGACCTTTTCCGTCACTGCTACCATATTGACTAGCTATACTTTTCACCATATGTTCTCCTTTAGGACATTTATAAAGCTCTGATGTTGTAGAATGAACTTTGTTCACAATAAACAAAAGTATCTTTCCTGAAATGCACATACGGATCCCTGGGTACAGTTGTAACTGTCTTCTAGATATGGTGGTCCTAACAAAGAGCCTCTCGCCATCCATCTTCTCTGCACAACTCCAGTTCAGGATAATGCTAGTGACAGTATTGGGAAGGCCACACCCAGAAGACAGCCCTTCCAAAAGACTAGTAGGACATTTCTAGTAATTATTTTGCTGCTTCTAACATCCTTTGGGCACTGGGACTTATCCTTCAATACCTAGCAACATTAACTGAAATGAACACCTAAACAATGGTTAGGGAACGAGAACCAGCCAGCAGGCCCAGTGCTGCATTCTGCACTGTTCTTTTCCCTGCTCACCTGGTAACAGTGTCTGCCTGCAGACCGAATTTAACAATTCCATTTCTCCAGTGTAACCATTCCTGTGAAATAGCAAAACAATCCTTAAAAGGTGGTGTTATCCCTCTGTTTTTACCATGTTATGCACCCTGTACCTTTATGAACTAGTGCATGCATGTGAACACAGGCATGCCATTGTACTTTTATGGAGGCTAAAAGACAAATTGTGAATCAGTTTTCTCCTCTTATCATGTGGATCCTAGAGATCAAACTCAGGTCACCAGATCAGTAGCAAGCACCTTTACCTTCTAAGCCACACTACCAGCCCATTATGCATGCTTTCTTACTGTTTTAGACAAAGTCTATGTAGCCTGGCTTGCCTGGAACTCAGATACACTTGCCTAAGTCCAGGAGTAAAGGCTTGCATTACCATACCAAGTCTATTATGCACTTAAAAGTCTAAAGATGACATGTTTACAACAATCAGTTTCACCAGTATATGTACAGTGCAGTACATAAACTGCACACACCTAACAAATGGTGTAATCAGAAACTGCCTTCCAACGAGCAACATTCTGGTCTAGAAGCTCTCTCATCTCTCTTAACCCAGGGGTCAGATTTACATAACTGTCATGTTTTGCAACATGTCCTTTTTTTTAAAAAGAACTCTTTTGTTTCAATGTTTGAAGGGTTAAATAGACACATTTTATAATGCCAGTCTTTATTTCTCTAGCTTTTAAAGAATTTATGGAGCAATAGTTCTTCTTATATAAATTGCTTAGGAAGTATTGTACATCTTCAAGAGAAGTCTGTTACGTATCTATTGACCCATTGAGGTCCTCACGTTCAAGTTCATGTTGTCTGCCATTTTCAGCATTGGAAAAGTACAGTCAGGTTTTGTAATGAGATCCATCAACATCCAACATCCATGCACACCTGAGGGAAACACTGTCCTCCAGTGGTTCCTTCCACAATGGCTTCCTTAGCATTCCATAGTCAAGTCTCTGTCTCTTTCATCTCATACCTTTGCTATGGTTCCCCCGTGACTGTCTAATCCCTTCTGACAAATTGCCAATGAGGTCTTCTAGACTAGATTCCTTTGAAATCAACCCTGTTTCAAATGTATGCAATCCCCAGAGTCCATGGCATTTATTACTTAAATTAGGCTTATTTTAGTAACATTTTCTATGAAATAATATTTCAATTCTAAAGCTTTGGTATGTGATAATTTCAACTGAAGTACAAATTAAAGGAAAGAAATTTGCAGATTTTCTTATGTATATATGGCTACAGGGCTCCAAACCTAATCAAGACACAAAACACTCCATTACTCTTTTAATTTGCATTTCCCCTTCCTGTCAAAACTTTTTGCTTCAGAGGTCAATGCTGTCTACATTTCTGTTCTAAACTAAAATTTAGAGTGCAAATGAAAGTGTAGCATGATGCATGATATATTGGGTTAAATGGTTGTTATAGTTGAACAAATTAACCTATATAGTATCTCATGTAAAAATTCATATTTTCATCTTGTAGCAAAAACTTCATACTTAGAAATAATCCTGAGTGCAGTGCCCTTTTATTACAAAGTGATCCCATGCTGTTTGTTACTGTTGTGGTTTGAATGAGAGTGGCTGCCATAGGGTCATATATTTAAATGCTTACCCTTAATTGGTGGAACTGTTTAGACAAGATTAGAAGGTGAGGCCTTTTTGGAGGAGGTGTGGCACTAGGGGTTGTCTGGGGGTTTCAAATACCCAGGCCATTCCCAGTGCCAACTCCCATGCCTTGGATAAGATGTAAGCTCCCAACCACTGCTCCAGTTCCCTGCTTGCCGCCTTCTTGTTGCCATGCTTCCTGTCATGGTAGTCATGCAGTCTAACTACTCTGGAACTGTGATCCCCTAAATTAAATGCTTTATTTTATAAGTTTCCTTGGTCATGACTTCTCATCACAGCTATAAAAGCATAACTAAGACAGAATTTGGTTCCAGAGTGTGTGTTATTTCTGTAACAGGCCTAACCATTTTGCTTTTTTGAGGAATGCAGAAAACTATGGACCTTTGGACTAGGGAAATAGTTGTAAGTGAGGCTTAATAGGCCATCCTAGTAGGAACTTGGACAAGAGTCACGCTGAGAGCATTGTAGACTTTGGAGGCCCAGCTCAAGAGGTTTCAATGGAGAACAATGTCAGGAGCTGTGCTACGGACCATTATTGGTATATTTTGTAAAGAAGATTGCCTCTTATGGAAGACAGAATCTCAGATGCTGAAGATAAACTAGAGGAAATAAACTCATCAAGCAAAGAAAATCTTAAGTCCAACAAATCTTTAACACAAAATATCCAGGAAATATGGGACACTGTGAAAAGACAAAACCTAGGGATAACAGGTATAGAAGAAGGCGAAGAAACCCAATTCAAAGGTGCAGAAAACATATTAAAAAAATCCTTGAAGTAAACTTTCCCAACCTAAAGAAAGACATGTCAATGAAAGTACAAGAAGCCTATAAAATGCCAAATAGAGTGGACCACAAAAGAAAGTCCCCTCATCACATAATAATTAAAACACCAAATATACAGAATAAAGAAAGAATATTAAGAGCAGCAAGGGAAAAAGGCCAAGTAACATATAAAGGCAAACCTATCAGAATTACACCAGACTTCTCCATGGAAACTCTGAAAGTCAGAAGGACCTGGATAGATATTTTACCAACTCTGAGAGAACACGGATGCCAGCCCAGACTACTATACCCAGCAAAGCTTTCAATCACTATAAATGGAGAAAACAAGATATTCCACCACAAAACCAGATTTAAACAATATGTAACCACTAATCCAGCCCTACAGAAAGTACTGGAAAGAAAACTCCAACCCAAGGAAATTAACTACACTCACATAAACATAAGCAATAGATAATTCCACTTTACAAAAACCCCAAATAAAAGGCAGGGTAAATCCACATACAA